TGATCAGATGGCAATTAATGTAGAACTCTGACCCACAATCTGCGTGACCGTCCTAGAGATCCCACCCACTGTCTATAGTAACCAGCCCATGGAGCCAGCTTGCTACCTGGAAGTCAGCTTGGTAGGACATCAGGACACTGTCTCTAGCAGCTGGTCCAGGAAGCGAAGCAGTAAATAACCCCTGTACCAGTAGGTCCCAAATGGTCAAGACATGATTAGTAACTGACAGCTTCCCTAATTTTGATCCCTAATTCCAACTGAGGACTAACCCGAGAAAACTAAATATGCACCCCGAACTTCTCACATAGGAGGCTGTGCTTCTAGTGAGCCCCTTACAGTGCCCCCTGCTGATGGCCTCCGATCAGAGCACCCTGAGGCCTTCCCTTTTCCCACCATAAAGCTCCCCCTCCTTGCCTGCCTTTGGATCTCTGCCTGCACAGTGAGGTGGTGGCTGACTGCCTGGCTATACGGAAGCTCTGAATAAGTGGCCTTTGCCTACCCTCGTTTGGGTGGTCTTGGCTTATTTCCACGATTGCCGCCGCCTTTCAGATCTCCCCAATTCTCACGTCTAACCCAAACGCAACGAACAATTTTAAATGCTAAGAACTCAAAATACTTGTCTTTATTTTTTCCTTACTACATTGAAATGCTATTTAAAGTTTCCTGAGGCAGATGACAGGAATTAAAAAGTGTTGAATGTTGGGAATTCTTATAACATTGTTCTTTTTTCATTTGTTTCTTTTAACATAAATTTGACATATACCCACCTACTATGGTGGATTTGCAGAGCTGAGCATAGGATTCTGGTAGGAAGTCAGCACTTGAGGAGATAACACTGTCTTGCGTGTCAATAGCCTCTGTCTGCTTAAGAATCGCGTTTCCAACAGCTGAGAGCGGCACATATGCACATGCAGCTTCCAGTCTCACCACCAGATGGTGCCAACACCTCTCTGGTAGGTTTTGCCAGTCACTTTGGCACCCTCTCTATTGGCATTTGGGAAAACATCGAAAAGAGTTGGTTGCTTATGCTCTTAACGCAATTAAGGTTTTCATTATTAATTTGGCTTTTTATGTAGTTAAAAAATGAGTATAAGCATGTAACATCCTTTGGAACGATTCATGCCAAAGAATTAAGCAGCCTGCGCTGAATGGAGAGCTTGCTTCCTATAGCTGTCCTCACGCTAATTTAATCTAAACAACTTTCAAACACTAGCTTCTACAAGTCAGATCTTGCAAAATTTCCATTTGCTTGCCCTCTGCTGCAACACTGACCACCATTTAATAGTAACACTTGCTCAGAAGCAGCAGCCTTTACCGCACGCGCTAGCTCGTGGGGGGCTTGTTCCGCCGGGGCTGTTTGCAGCTGGGAGGCAAAGTGGGGGTCAGCGTCTCCATCTTCTTGGTTTGTCCGATGCACTTGAGCCAAGGGTAAAGCCATGCCCTCGTTTCCCCTGCCTCGGCTCCTCTTGTTCATGGCGTCTTCTGAACAAGAGCGGCTCTCATTTCTCCTCCGGGGCTCTCTGGAGGCAGCAGGATGCTTTGCTCTGAAACTGCACGTCTCTTCTGGGAGATGGCCCCAAACTCACTGGTATCATATATGCCCCCAAAGCAACTGTAATCGGCTCATATAAACGCTTTAACATAAATTAAATCCATGCATAGGAGGTCTTGATATGCAATGAAATGGAACCAGGGAATTTATAAAGTAATAATAGAGTGAGGTGTCATACAGGTTCATAATCCCACATCTGGAATTCTTGGAACAAGACATGCTTGGCATTCAGAGTGTTTTGAATTTATAAAGTGAATAGAGTGTATGTACCAGGCATTATATAATACGCCAGAGGGTCTAGGGCAACTCCACATAATTAAAACAGTATTTCTGCAGAGAAGCATAAATGTTCACATAAGTAGAATTAAAAAAAGACTAAATGGCCTCAGGTCAGGTCAGGTTTTGCCTACAAATGAGTTCGGAAAAGCCCTTGGTTGTCGGAACTTTTTGGATTTGGGGGATGCAGATAAGGTATTGCGGGGCTGTATCAGATACTTTACATATGCTGTTTCATTTAATTCTCACAGGTGCCCAGTGTTAAATGTAAGGCTGTAAGAGTGTGGGGAACCTGGGGTCAGAGTGGTTAAGAAACTATCCCAAGGTCACACAGCAGAGGCAGCATTCAAACCTGGACCGACTCTAAAAGGCAAAATGCTAATTGCCTCCCACATTTACTAAAATTATGAAATAGTCTAAAATAATAAAAGCCCTTTAGCTTCCTTGCCAACTTTTGGCTTTTCACCCATATTCTGCACGATTCTTGAGTTTTGAGGGGTCCATGAAAAAGAATCTGAGGACATAGTGAACTCTCCCACCGTGATGGATGGAGGTCAAGGCCCTGCCTGGCACCTTCACAGGGCAGCCTCGCCTGGCGCCGGAGGAGGCAGGGCCGAGGAGCAAGCAGTTGACACCCCATATGTCAGACTTTCCAGCGGAGAGCATTCCGTGGGCCACTTGGTCCACACAGCTCACCAGCCTTGCTGCTGTCTGCAGTACAATCCGACATCTAGCTGATGTCTCTCGCTTCCTTTCACATTTTTGCACCAGCCTGGCCCCCCATAAAGGGACTCTGCTTCTTTGAATGGGGACATCAGAAGTCACTTGGCTTAATCAAGTTGTCAGCAGGCCAGGGAGAAACCGTTGGCTTTGTGCGTACATTTTTCTCAGGATGGGAATGAATTGAAATAATTATATTTTGAAATTGTCCTTTCAAGGTAATTCATGAACCATGTTCCTATTTTGCATGCTCATTACCCTGTTTTCTCTTGTCCCTTACGTCTTTCCCTCTTCCAAATTAGAATATTATTTGTGCTCCAAAGTTTAGGAGCATACAGATTTTTGACCCTTACGTTTTTTTCTTGTAATGAGAGCAGTAGCTTAGCAATTGCATGGCCATAAAACTCTTTTTATATGCCTGTAAAAATATTACAAGTCACAAGAAACCGTGTAACATTTTAATGGATTCTTCCAGTGACCTTTTATAGACTTTCAAGATTTGTTAGAAAAATGATTCATCACAGGTGTACCGATATCTGTATGTCATGCTTAAGTTACTTTAAAAATTCCCCTTATTTTTATAAAAATGAGTAGCAGATATGGGCGTTCATGCAGTCACACACTAGCTGCCCACCTGTCCATGGAATTTTCCTGCAACGAAGAGCGCACATTTAAGGGTTGCATTCCATGAGTTTTTTAAATATATTTTAAAATATATTTTTAAAAAATTGACTTCAGAGAGGAAGGGAGAGAGAGAGAGATCTGCTGCCTCCTGCACGCTCCCTACTGGGGATCAAGCCTGCAACCTGGGCATGTGACCTGACCGGGAATCGAACTGGCGACCTTTTGGTGCATGAGATGACACTCAACAAACTGAGCCACACTGGCCAGGGCCATTCCATGGATTTTAATTAGTGTACATCTGTGGAACTCAAACCTTTATCAAGATAGATCTATCACTCCAGAAAGTTCTTCCACTGTCCTTCCCAATTTCCTGCACTCCAGGCAAACTCTTTTTAAAATTTTATTTTTATCATAGCCTGGCCAGTGTTGTGATCGCCTCTGGCAGGCTGAGGAAGCCAGGGAAGTCCCTCTTAGATGAACACTTTTAACTACAAAAAACACACAGGATTACAAAGAAAACCAATTGTGTTGAAACCAAATATCACACTGCTACAAATATTTCAAAATACTTAAACACAGGCACATGCTAATACATGTGTTTCTTTTGTATGAGGTCTAATAACTACAGTTTCAAAGTACTGATGGCCATAAATGATAATTCCAGACACAATCAGTCCTCATTATTTGAGAATTCTGTATTTCTGAATTTGCCTACTTGCTAAAATCGATCTGTGACCCCCATGTCAGTCCCCATGGTACTCTTGTCATTTGACCAGTGAAAAATTTCAGTCTCCTGACATGCCNTTTAACTACAAAAAACACACAGGATTACAAAGAAAACCAATTGTGTTGAAACCAAATATCACACTGCTACAAATATTTCAAAATACTTAAACACAGGCACATGCTAATATATGTGTTTCTTTTGTATGAGGTCTAATAACTAGTTTCAAAGTACTGATGGCCATAAATGATAATTCCAGACACAATCAATCCTCATTATTTGAGAATTCTGTATTTCTGAATTTGCCTACTTGCTAAAATTGATCTGTGACCCCATGTCAGTCCCCATGGTACTCTTGTCATTTGACCAGTGAAAAATTTCAGTCTCCTAATGTGCATGTCCCCAGCTGAGGTGGATTAAGGTGAAGTCCTGCCTTTTGTAAACAACTGTCCTTTGCACATTGGATTTACTGCCACGTTTTGGGCAATTTTATGCTTTTTGTGGGTGATTTCACTGTTACAGTGTGATGCTAGAGGACCGTCTAGTGTTTCTTGGTGCAGGATGGCTGTGAGGTGGCTTAGGGAGAAGACAAATGTGCCCATAGCCATAGCTTCTTTCAGATGTGAGTCATCACACTGCTGGCCACAAGTTCAAAGCTAATCAATCAGCTTTGTTGGCCACAAAGCTAATCAATCAACTATAAACTAGATACAGTGTCTCTAAGCAGGAAGCACCCGTGAAACAAGGCTGTGCATTGATGGTTGATGACTGTGCTGTGACCTGAGGCTTGCAGGAATGTCACCTGTATTTCCAGGTCACCCTAGGAACAGAGGCTCAGTACTTGCTAATCGAGTGGTCAAGGCAACTTTGTAGAACATAACTGTCGTGAATAATAAGAATCAATTGTACCAGCAACAAATGCAATGTGGTGTGAAAACAGTGACAAAGACAGTTAAAAATGCAGTTATGTTTTCTGTCCTGCATTCATAACCAAGAGGGGGGATCAGTCCCCTCGCACACCAAGACCCTGGGTAAGTGGCCCAATGGGCTGGATTTCTTATTGTTTTTACCGCAATCAGCTACTCAAGGGCACAGACTCTCTCTTGCTGGGAATGGCACCCAAAGCTCTTTATTAAAGTTTTAGGAGGGTCAGTTGCCCGGGAACTGACCCCAGAAGCTCAAAGAAGCACGCTGTCATTCAGATATGCTCTTACAGGCGAGAAAAACACTGCAAAGGTGAGGCTAAGGAGAGTCCCATGAGCCTGTGATGTAGCAGCCCCTACAGCTGTGTGTTGGACAAGTTTATCCAAGTTTCTGATTCCCTAAGCTCTCCAGGAGTGCATGTCCCTGAGGGACTCAGTGCCCCCCTTGGTCTCCAAACACCTGTTCAATCTGGGGGTTAAACGGATTCTCCTTCCCCAGGACCTGGGGCCACTGCAGTTGCAGCTTGTCCCACAAGCTATCTGCCAACAGCAGCGAAGCCACCTGCAAGAGAGGAGTAAACGGAGATTATAACCAAGTAAAGAATCTACCAGCAAGATTACCTCTCTTTTTTGTGTGGTGGACAGACTCCAAGATGGTCCTCATGGTTCCTACTGTCATTCTTTGTAGGATCCCCCTCCCTTGGTGAGGGTGGGACCTATCGCTTGGTTCTAATGGCGTATTCTCAGACTATGGTGAAGGTGAGAGGATGTCACTCCAGGGATGATGGAACATTATCTGAAACTGCTCTGCCGGGGGTGTTCCCCCGGGGACTCTCCTTGTTGCACTGGTGACGTAGGAAGTCCACACGGCAGGGGCAGAGGGTGGCCTCTGCTGACATCCAGCCAGAGCTGGGTCCTCAGTCCTCCAATTACAAGGACATGAATCCTGCTGACCACCCAAGTGAATCTGAGAGCAGTTCTTCCCCGGTTGGGTCTCAGGATGAGAACACGGCCTGGGTGACACACCTGGGTTTTACCCTTGTGACACCCTAAGCAGAAGAGCCTGTTCAATCATGCCCATCCTCCTGACTCACAGGAGCTGTGAGATAAGAGATGAATATTGTTTCAGCTGCTGAATTTGTGCTAATTTGTGATTTAGTAATAGATAAACACACTTCCTGAGAAACTCATTTATTTATCTGGATGGCTAACACTTACTGCAAGCCTAGGGCTTGGGTTCTGGAGATGGACAGGGTGAGTCCTCTGCTCAAGGAGCTCCCAGTCCAGGGAGGGAACCAGACGTGCAAACAGACCCCAGCAGACCCACACGGAGGGCTGAGGGGGGATGCCCCCGGCTGGAAGGGGAAGAGGTGCCAGCTCTGCGGGGGGTGGGGAGGGGCAGGTCCTCTCTGAAGAGGGCGATAGAGGAGCCGAGTTTTCAGGGAGGGGTTCCCCAGCTGGACCCCGTGGGAAACGGTGTGATGGTGGAAGACTCAGCGTGTGCGGGGCACAGAGTGTGGGCGCGGGGGAGCTCTGGGTGCCTGGGCGGCGAGGCTGGACAGGGAGCAGGATACGGTGGGCCTGACAGCTGAGTGCGGGGCCGCAGGCCAGGCAGGGGTCTGTGTCCGGGGGCTGCTGTCCATCAGGCTGATTTTTACTCACAACTGCAGCAGGATGCATTCTTGGTGGCCCAGTCCTCTGGCCCATCGTTAGCGTGCTTTTGATGAGCAGTCTCTCCCTGCAGAGGACACCCTCATTCATCTAGCAAACGGGGCCCGGCCAGACCTTTGGCCCCAGGTGGCTGTACCCCACAGGGTTTTAGTGCTGGGTGGTAAAAGGAATGTGGTTGCTGACGGTCTCAGAGGGGAGCGTGCCCTTCAGGGGGGAAGCTCCGGGTTACCCCGACTTCGGTCAGAAGCACATGGCCCCTGTCTCCCCAGGGCAGGCCCTGCGCACCATCCCAATAGGCCGAACTGCCAGCTCCCTGCAGGCGCTGGGCAGCCTGTTCCCTCTCTGGGCTGCAGTTCTCTCACTTGCAAAGAGAGCAGGCCGGAGAAACGCATCTAAAGCCCTGTCTGGGCCTAAACTGTATTAGAGAGTTCAGCAGCTGTTAGAAAACATGAGAACTGATAGAGTTGCTGCATTAAATACCCCGATATTAATATGTTCCCGAGCCTGCTGAGGTGGACCCCAAATTCCAGCCATCTGACACTGTAACCTTGGTCATATCCATGCGGCGTCTAACGCATCACAGACATATCGCACACACCACACACGTCATTCCCCCCTGCACATGACATCAGCACATGCACACACATACACACTCCACACAAACACACACACCACATATACGCCCCCACATGACATATATCACATGCACACACAAACACGACACACTACACACATCATACACCCCCATGAAATCAACACCTCCCCCCACACACATGAAATCAACCCCCCCAACACATACATGAAATCAACACGCACACACGTTGACTGTCCAGCAGCCAGCTCTCGGGAAGGGCTGGTCAGCTCCCACAGAGCAGTGTCTCCGGAGACAGAGGACTGGTCTCGTGGCTGTTTGTCTTGCTCTTTCTCAACAAGGCGTCTGCCGCCGGGTCTGCGGAAGGTGACTGGTTGCTTTTTTCTTGATTGCCTTTCGACTTGATACACACACGCCATCTTCCTAACAATGGCATGGCACCAAGGCGTTTGTGATCATTTATTCCCCAGTCTAAATTAATAAGGAGGGGCGGGGTGAGGGTAAGAAGAGAGTTACAACGATAGAGCTGATAGGAGCATGTGGCAGCTGCTGGGTCGGAAGGCAATTAGTTGGCTGTCAGTCTCGTGGAGGTTAGAATATTTATGAGCATGCATCGCTAATACATTGAGTCTAAAACGAGAGTGGCACTGTTATTACCAAACTAGAGGCTTGTGATAAAAGACCCACTCTAATAGGTCATTCATTTCAGAGCCTTTACGGGGCACCTACTGCGGGATCTTCTTAGAACCAGCGCCTTGTGTAACTCCCAGGAGGCAGGGCCCTGGGCAGAGCCAGCCCTCCTTTACCCTCCTGACTCCCATGAGCTGTTCCTCTACGCAAATAGCTCTTGTCCTTCCTTGTTCATAGTTTAAAGTAGTAAAGCAATACCTATTCATTCGAGACAAATTTAACAAGACCATAAAGCAAGAAGAGAAAAACAGAATAAACGAAAGTCCTTTGTAATTATAATAGACACTATTACCGTCAGGTGTAGAGCCTTTCTGACACACACACATGCACACACGTGCACACACACACACACACGCACAAATTGGATCCCTCTGTAAACACTATTTTTCAGTCTTCTCTTTGTGAGGTATAACTTACACAGTAAAATTAACTGTATCTGGTAAGCAGTTCCGCAAGTTGACAAATGCATAGAGCTGAGTAATCAGCCCCACAACCTTTAATCTGCTACTGTGTACTTTGCTCTGATTACAAACATATTTCTGTGTCACTAAAGGTAGACTGATATTGTTTTTATTCAATGCACTGTGTTTCATCAGATGGACACAAGCCTATTTATTTTTCCAGCGGAGACGTTTGCCTAGCGCTGGTCCCTGGGACCAGGGACAGAGACAGCGCCCTCCCGCCAGCGCACACAATGTCTGCTGCGCAGGAGGGGTCCCCGGCTGCCTCGCTCACTAACTCCGCTGCCCACACACAGGGGATGGACTCTGGTCCAGCGGGCGCTGTGGGACAAGGGGTTCTGGCTCAGTGGGGTCTTCTGGTTTACTGAGCTAGGCCCTCTGGGTCTCTTGCAAATGTCTCCAGCTCTTAACTAGAAGTTGGTGATTTCCAAACCTGTCTCCAGGCCAGACCCATCTCCTGCGATCAGAACCCACATGTTTGATCCAAAGACTGTTTTGAGAGTTGCACCTGGATATTGTGCAGGCACCTCAAATGCAGAAAGTTCAGACCTGCTCTTTCTCCTGAGCTTCTTGACTTGGCGCTTTTCACGTCTTCTCATCCACTCACCCGGTCCTGTGAGTCACCTCCCTCCTACCCACCAAGTCCCATCAATCAGCAAGCCTGGCATCCTCACTGGCTTCCTTCCCTCTCACCCTGAAGAAGATTGTTCTCAAAATTCTGGTTCTACATTTTGGGATTGAGGTGAACGGTAAAGCAGTTGTCAGCCTGCATATGGGGAATTTTCCTACACTTGTTGATTTTCCATGGACATATAAGCAGAGTTTAGATCCTGAATATAATTTGGCTCAAAAATATTCACGTAGAAATCCTACACTTGAAATGGTCAACACAACCTGTGCTTACACTTATTAAACTTGTCTCCCTAAAGTAACTGGAGCAGTTGAAGCAATAGCAGGTGGTTGACACTCCCCTGCGTCTCGGGCAGGGGAGGAAATAGGCCAGCACAGTAAAGCCTGCCCCTTGCTGCTGGTGAGGGGCAGGAGCCAGCTCTTCTTTGCTCAGATGGACAGGAGTTGGTGGTGGGGGTGCACTTGGAAAGGTCCGAGTCGGCTCCCCTGGTTTGTGTTACGTCCCTGCGATAGGATGAGGTCTTGAGGCCAACCTTGTCCGTTTGGCTCTTTCGAGATGGAAAAAGATGTGAACCCCATAGCTGCCCGTGGTCTAGGCGGGTTCGTTAGCACTGCCTCTGCTGCAAGGCCGGGCATCTGGAAGGGAGTATGCGGGGACATCCCGAGGCTCCTCTTCAAGGCTTCAGGTCATAAGTCTGTCCTGATGGGACTCGCTTCTGTATCTTTTCCTGTGCTCAAAGCTTGTGTGTTATCTGCTGAAAGGACATCCCCACTTGGACATCCTGTAGGCTCCCAAAACCCAACATGTGCGAACTCCTCCTCAAAGCCCCGTGCCCTGTGTTCTTCACCTCGGTGGGCAACGGAATCATCTGCCCAATTTCCCACGTCGTGAAAGAAGTGTCGCGCTTAGCACGCCTTTCTCTTCTAGCGCACACCCAGTAAGTGGCGGTGCTCTGTGGACTGAACTCGCTGAGTGTCTCCAACACAAACCTTTCCTCTCCCTTCCCCCACTATCTGTGCAGGCATCTCTCTCTCATACCCCCCCGAAGGGTTCCTTCCCTCTGGAATGCCCCCCCAACCATTCTCCACGCTGTTACCACGGGTATCTTTTCTGAACACAAGCCTGGTCATGTTTTATTCTTGCTGTAAAACCGTCAGTGGCTCCCTGTTCCCCACAGGAGAGAGGTCAGAACTCCCGTGGCCTGGCCCCTGCGTCCGCCTCTCGATTCCTCCCTCTCCCTCTGATCCTCTACATCCGGCTGCACCGAAGCACTTTCATTTCCTCCTGCTCGCCATGCCTTCGGTCTTTTTTTTTTTTTTAAAAAAT